GCATGTGGTTGCAGAGTCAGACATGCTTCCCAAAAGCCACACATACTGGGAAAGTCCCTGCGTGTGTGCCTGGCATTCGGCCCTTTCCAACCTGATCTGTTTGCTTTTTATCCTTAAAAACTAATAATCATGAACTCTCGCTGATGTCAGGGCCACTGAAGGAAACAATAAAGAGAGAAGGGGTTTTCTCACAGCTTAGAGGAAATTGTAATGTGAGATAGAGCAAATATAGCCTAATGCCGAGTTCTGGATCACAACTGGTGCACCACGATCAGCAATCCCCCCTTTAGATCTGATGGAAGCCAGACTTGCCATGGTGACTTATTTCCTTGTGTTAGATCACACAAATATTTGAAGATTCTCTTTTGTTCACCAGAAACCAAGCCTGGGGGATTTCAAACTTTACCTGTACACCACACACAGCTCACACCCTGCTGTGTGATTTCCTGCAGCACATTAGGAAGCAGCTTCTGTACCTCTTGTCAACAGTTCCTCCCAGATGACCAGCAGTCCAAAGTTCAAGGAGCTCTCTTCTGTGCATGGTTCCGTTTGAGTCTCACAGCCTGACTCACTTTCAGGACAGGCTGTTTCAATGTTGCTTCTCTCCCATCCAATGTTTTTATGGCTCCCAAATTCTTCCTTGAACACTAATCTGATCAGCATCAATACTTTGGCCAACTCAGACCTTCATCAAATAAATCGTGATCCTCAGAGTGATCAAACAATCAAGCCTAACCCTAATCCTAACCCTAACCCTAACCCTAAAAGACTCATTTCCCTGTGCTTTTCTCCCAAAGAGGCGATCAAACATAATGATAATAATGATACTATCCTTCCTGGAAGAAATGATGACATTTAAAGAGATACCTGTGCCCTTTCCTTTGGCTATCAGATTATTGAGACAATGAACCCCAAGAATTTGGAAATCTCCCCAGGAACCTCATGCTAGAAGAAAAAAAAGGCTGAAGCCTGGTGTCAGTTAGAGGTGGAATTTGTCTTCCAGGAAGAGATTCATATAGTCCTGACACTTTGTTAAACCACCTTGAAGGAGATATGGGAGCCTAGACAATGGCTTGACAGAACCATACCTTGAGTAGGGTTGTCCTGTATTTAAGCCTAAACCACATGACAGGGCTCAACATGGATTTGATTGGCTCACTGGATTTCTTTATCTGTTCTTCTTCCAATGTGGTCACACTGCATGAATCTTTCTTTGCCTTTCACTATCCTTGTCTAGAGTGCACAGAGGAGAGATGGCTGGGCCTAGGTTGTTTGAGCTACCAAGACCCAGACTCTGACCCTAAGAAATCCAGTAACTCTCTGATCTCTGAACAGTCCACTTTTCTTCGTCTTACGTGGCTATGATATCATAGGTAGTAATACCAGGACCTTGGAATCAGATTGCCTGAGCTGGCACACCATTACCACTACTCAGATGTGAAACCTTGCTTAAATCCTCCATGAGGACACCTTTCTTTCATGTAGGATAGTGGGCAATACCTGAGACAAATGCTATAAAATGCTTAAATAGTGTCTTGAACAACTAGTGACCAAAAAAGTTAGTACTTATTATTGTCTCCTAAATCACAATGATCTTACCTTCTTTGTGAACAGTTGTACCTCCATCCACCCCTCACCCATCTCTTTTGTGAAAATCATTCAAATTCCAAAGGTTGGGTTTATTCTCTAGCTCCCAGAGTTTTCCTACAATCCTGTAGATACTGAACAAGTCTTTAACAAGTGCATTTAACATTAAAACCTCCAGTGATTCACACTTCTTCCTCACCATTGGGTGAGCTGCTGAGAGGCATAAACAGTTTCTGATTCCTATCTAAGTCACTGGGGCCTAACAGAATCCTTTCTCCGGTGTCTAAGTAACACTAATTTTGGAAATAAGCCTCCATTTTGTATTGTAGAAACTATTTGCTTGGCATTCAACCTTCTTATTCTGCTAATCTTCCTGCTCACACATCTTAACCCTTTCTCTCCCAGCAGCCAGCATGATCAGATCCAACATCTGTCTTGTCTCTTTGCATACTGAGATGAAACCCAGCTTCCTGACCACAGCTCCTACATCCTTCCAGCATCCAGCTTCCATCCACACCTCGGCTCCAAGCCACTGCCTCCCTGCTCTCCATCACCTAGCACACCACCCCTCACCTCGTTTTTGCTTTCCCTTGGCTTAAGTGAAATGTATTTTCACTTCTGGACTACTATTTTCTAGGCTTTACCAGTCGCTTTGGCAAAAAAAAAAAAAGAAAAAAAAAGCCTTTTGCCCTCTGTCACGTCTTTTTTTTCCTGGTGTGGGTCAAACTATTGGAATCACCTGCCTTCGATGCTTTTCTGACTGTCCACTGAGTTGAGAGCTCCGTGAGGGCGGAGGCTGTGGGCCTTGTTGTTTACTCACCATGTGAGAGGAGATGCTTGGAAGATGTGTGCTAAGGGAATGCATACAAAATAGATCTTTTGAGAGGAAACCCATCCACACAAGAGTCATGCTGGAATGACAAACCACTAGATAATAGGATTTGATGATATGTTCCTATGGGGGGGGGGCTTTGTCAGGGTATCATGATGTTCCAGTTACGCCTCCTCAACACAAGCAACAAGTCCCGTAGTAAAAGATGAGCTAATTTGTCGGAAGCTTTTCAGATGCTCCATGAAAGTATTAAAACTATTAGGCAAACAAGGGAGAGTCAAAGAAATTAATGATATGCCTGGACAGAGTAAAGAGTAAAGAGTTAAAGAACTGGTCTTCTCAGAGAAGCAGTCAAGAGTGTACAATAGCTCCTGCTTCTGTGGAACCCGGGGGTGGGGGGAGAGAGAGAGAGACAGACAGAGAGAAAGAGAGAGAGAGAGAGAGAGAGAGAGAGAGAGAGAGAGAGAGAGAGAGAGAGAGAGAGAGAGGGGTCTTTGAATGAAATGTATAAAATTAATACTGAGCTTTATTATCTGCTATGTATAACCTGACAATAAAAATATTTGCCAAGCACTCGGCAGTTTAGGGATATCTCTATGTACATAGTGTATCTCATTTGATAAGACCATTGAATGACAGGACAGCTCAGTGGACAGTCTACACAACCTAGTATCAAGAGACTTCAGTCTGCATCCTGTGCTGTTAGCATCCAGCTATGGCTTTTGGAGAGTTACTGTGCTTCTCAGGGACTTGATTTACCTTTTGATGAGATGAGGGTATTAGATGGGTATTGGTCATTCAGTTCACACATCACAGTGACTTCTCCTTCACTGGTGTCACACTTCTCTCCTTCTAGATCCAAGACAAAACATTCCCACTTTGGAATTTTCTCAAGCATCAATACATCTTTTTGACTCTTCCCCAAATCCAGTTGTCTGAGGGACCCTGTCGGGTGCTGAGGTAAACAAAGAACACTTTGGTTCCCTGTGGTGCAGCCCTCTCTCCCCTTTAACTGAGTTCTTCTGATGCAAGTTCTGACTGAACCCCGGCTCCACGGTCTCTCTCACTTCATTTTACACTGTGATCCCTCCCACACCGCCGCCAAGGGCAGCTAACAACCTTCCTATGTTTCATGTTAGAACTCAAGAAGGGGTCTTCAGTGGCCAATTTAATAAGTGTTTTTCAGTCTTTGTGGGACAAGGTTGAGGACTTTTCCTATATTGACATACCTAGTTCCCTCTTTTATATTTGTCTGCCATCTCCATACTCTGCTAGCCAAGGAAGATGTGCATGGGGGTGTCTGGATAAAAGGGAGGGGATGTTTGGGGGGCAACCTTTCTGGTCTGGAACATAGAGGAACATTACATCTTTCTATTCCCCCTTCTATAGTCTTGGTACCGTTGCTAGAAACCCATCTATTGGTTCCTTTCATTCTTTGTGCAAATCATCTGATGTCTTGTTTTGTACTTGATCTCAGCCAAAGAGACTGAAAGGAATTGGTGTCTCTGGGTGTAAATTCCAGGTCGCTGGACTATGACCAGGCACCTATGTGATTTTAAAGATGAAAGCTGTTACGGTCAGACATTGAAATAAATTTCTCCCTTCCAGTCACAGCTTTCCAATGTGAAAATGATCCCTTTGTAATGCAGATCTGGGTGTTTCAATCATGATTGCATGGAAAAGATGCTCTGGAGTTTAGAAGCACCAGCAGGGCTGGACATTCTTCCACCCATCCCCAGCCTGTTAGTATTCAAGGCAAGCTACATACCTTTCTGCCTTCTGGATCTCTCCTCTTTTTTTCTTTAATAAATACTTAGAATTACATAAGATATAAGCTCAGCTGCAATGAGGCTGGTGTCTTACGGTTCATCTGTTCCCCCCCCCCCCCTTTGGTTTTCAGCTGTTGTTTTAGGCTTTTGCAGGAGGCAAGCTCCTTCAGGAGAGAATGTTAAAGCTAGGCTGAATTTTGTTCTTAATGACATATTTAGGAATGTCTCAAAGTCAAGTTGATTACAGATATGCTGTGTTTATCTTCCTTTGGCTGTTCTTGCTATGCTGTCGGGCTTATAGTTGTGTGTCATCCACACATCCGTCTGTGCCCATCAATCAGGCAGGCTACGGATCACTGCCTAGAGACCATGCATGGTCTTATTCCCAACTGCACCTTAGACGGCACAGAATGTATTTCTAATCCAAAGGGGAAAGTGTATTGAGAGTCAGCCGCTAGACAAGCTGCAGAATTTCTTGCCGGCTCCTTTCTTTCCGGGAGGCAGCTTCCTTAAACATTGTTTTTACAAGCCAATGAAAAAGTCCCATATTTTTTCAGCACAATGGACTCCATATCCCCGGCCTACAAATCTAGAATTTCACACGTTAACGGAGACGTTAAGCAAAACCTCTTTTTCTATATGCCTGCTTTGCTTGTCTCTGCTGGGTCCTTTTGCATCCCTGATGCGTCAGTCTTTCTTCCTCACCCTTTCTAGGGGCTGGAGAGGCAGAGCGCCACAGTGGAGCTGAGCCGGCAGATCTGCCATCTGATTGGCTGCTCGGCGCGTGGCTGGCCTATAAAAGAGACCCCTACAGGCTTGGGAGCCAGAGGCTCAGAGAAATCTGACCGCATCTTTGCCTAGCAGAAGCTACTGTGCTCAAAATAGAAACCAGCACTCCTGCTGCTGCCTTCCTCTCCTCGCTGCGAATCCCACAGTTAAACACGATGTGCAAAGGACTTGCAGGTCTGCCGGCTTCCTGCCTGAGGAGGTAAGATTGCTTTCTGTCACTGGCCAGACGAAAGTTTTGCTTAGACTTTTTCAGTGACTTCCATGCTTTGCAATGGTAACTTCTCTCTAGGACTAGCCAAACACTTTGATTTAGGGAGCAGGGTCCCGTGTTGTTTTATTTCGTATGCCTTTAGTCTGGAGACTAATTCTGACGGTTAAGTTTGGTCCTTTAGTTAAGATGTTTGGATTGCAAAGCGATAGGTTTGGAATGTATCTGTATTCTTTTCGGTGATTATTGTCCCTGGTTGAGCATTGCTGACCACCCAGAATTACGGCTCTCTGATAACACACTAGTTCTTGTGTAGGGGAAGAAACCCCAGAAGGAAGTTTGGAAACATTGTCAGGAGGCTTTTTGTGGCGTTCTGCAGTCCCCCGACTCTACCTTCGTGCAAACAAATGTGAGAATAAGAGAGGCTTTTCCAAACTAGATGTCTCCTATCTCTCTACCCCACCTCCAGCTGTTGAAGCGAGATGTGGTTGAGAAATAAGTACTGATTGTAACATATCAACTTAAAGTTTCAGAGGCACCCTGTGTCTTTTTTTAAGGGTATGAATAAATTATTTCATAGAGCACTTATGTAGTAGCTGGTTTAAAATAAAACAGGAGGTTACTGTATATTACATGATTTCCTCTTGAAATTAAAGATCAAAAGTGGGTATTTCTGTGGGTTTACTAGCTCCTCCCACCCACCAAAGCATAGCTTTTGGGAGTTACTGAGCCTGCCTACCACACATTCTACCATTCAGGAGTATAAACACATCAATCACTTTTTAAAAAATTAAGCGGGGGGATGGGTTGGTGGAGAGCAAGGAGGCAGCAGACACCTTTCCACCTTCACTCTTAAGTCCTGGAGTTAACCGAAGTGAGCGATTCCAAGTTCCTGTCAAATTATATAAAATTAACCATGCAGAACTTAAGAGTGTCCGGACTCAGGTTTACCCCCAGCAAATAGTTTTGGGGAACAGATGGAAGGAAGCATGTAAAGGGGTAAACAGCTCTCATCTTCAGTGCAAGGGGTTCCAGAGCATCTTAGCTACTCAAGGTCTTGTGATTGGTGGTGACAGAGGAAGGACCCCATCCTGTCTCCAGTGACTTCCGAAGTCACTTTGGTTTTCATTTTTATGCTTCTGTTGTGACACAAGGAAATGCACTTATTATGTTAGCGTTAGCAGTAGCTGCTGGGGCTCAGGTAGAGTCAGCACACAGAGACAGGAGGTCATTTCTCTTTGGGCTGGATTACAATGCATTCATAGCATCACTTTAGAACTGTCCCAGCTCTGGTGATTTTATCTTGCTGTCACTGGGGAGGACTTTGTCACCAGTCAGAAGCTGGGGAAAAGTGAAAAGAAGACAGCCTTGTAAGGGATGGAAAAGTACTAAAGGGCAGCCCAAGAACAGTGGAGAGAAAATCCACTGATAAGCTACCGGTGTGTCAGCATCCACCCTAAAATGCCACTGTGCACCACCCTTCTGTTTTAGCCCTTCCAGGCAGGAACGACTCATTCTTTGTTGCCTTGGGAACACCATTTTTCTTAAACTATTTCATGGCTTCTATAATAAAAGAGATAACAATAATAAAAAAACTATTAAGAAAGAATGACAGAGTTGAGCTGAAAGTTTAAGTAGTCAGAAACTCTGCTATTCCCTGGTTGCCTATTAAATTGTGGCAGTAAACTGGATACTACTCTAATTAAACAATTACTCACCTCAGCGATGACTCTGTCTTTCTTCTCCTTTCCCAAAGTCTCAACGACCTTTCTAGTGTGCATCTCTGTGAAATGCAGGCCCCCCCCTCTGTCATTTGCTCTTGTTGGAGATTGCTTAGAAACAAGCCCCATGGATCTCAGCTTTCAGCCTGAGCTTTTGTGTCATTTCTGCTCCTTGAGGGACACACACATAAGCTTATGATACACACACACACACACACACACACACACACACACACAGGAACTGCTTGGCTACCACACTCAGGGCTGGCTGAACTCATTTCTAGTTTATTGAGGTGCTTCTGTAGCTTGCTGGGGGAAGTAGCACCCACCTTCCGGAAGGTGTTCCATAAGGAGAAGGTGTCATGTTTTGCAGTTACTGCATGCGTTTCAAAAGAGCAGCCACTTATTAGCACTGTTTCACCAAAGATATCAAAGGTCAGAGGCAGACACAAAACAATCTTCTCCTGGGAGTTCATGCTACTGCAACTCCCCTAAGGAAGCTGCTTCTGACCCACACAGCTGTCATGGACTCTTAAACACCCACAAATCTCTCTTTTGTTTTTCATGTCAATTCTTTTCTTCTTCCTTGCAGTGCAAAGGATATGAAACACAGGCTGGGGTTCTTGCTGCAGAAGTCTGATTCCTGTGAGCACAGCTCTTCGCACAGCAAGAAGGACAAAGTAGTTACTTGCCAGAGGTGAGAGAAATGGCTTTGGTGATATGCTATTGGGTATTAGCTATCTGATGATAGAGATGATGTACAAGAAGAGGGAGTGGGAAGGCAGGTCCTTAGTTGAGCCATATTTGGATTAAGATGTCCTCCATTTCCAAGGTGAGGGCATACAATTATAATCTCAGCACTTGGAATGTTAGGAGGGTCATGAGTTCAAGACCAACCTGAGATTTATAACAAGATCTTATCACACACACACACACACACACACACACACACACACACAGGTAGTGGGGGGTCCATTTTTGTGGCAATCATAATTAGATTTTAAATCTCCACATATTTTATGAAAAAGGCATCTTAGAAAACAATAGATCACATCTCATCTCAGATTTTTTTGCTTCAGTTCTATGATATGTATTTAAATCATTCTTTTTTCTATATTATCTTCAGGGTGAGCCAAGAAGAAGTCAAAAAGTGGGCTGAGTCACTGGAAAACCTGATCAAACATGAATGTAAGTAACCATACCTCTGTCTTTCTCTCATCACAAAGCAAGCACATCCACACCCAGAGAGGGACAGGATGAGGGTAGCAGTACTCTGTGTTAGGCAAAGTCATCTCCTAGCATGTCAATTTAAAAGGGACTGCAAAGAAGGCCTGGGTTGCCTCTGTCTTCCAAAATCAGGTAAAAGCATTGTAGTTTTATAGCTGCTATGTTTCAGAGCTTTGTCAAATTCAATGAAAAGCTTATTCAGGAGCAGTCTGGATCATCAGCAAGTAAATCAGCCCTCCTATCGCATAGACAAAATGGCAAAAGGCAAGGTCTTCTTGCACAATGGACCACAACTCTCGTTTTGAACCCACCTTGGCAGTTGATAGCCACACAGATGCTTCAGAATTACCGTTCCATGAAAGATGATTCAATCTTGAGAAGAAATCCTTGGATAAAAATGGGGTCTTCTAGATATCAAATATTAATTTGGGTTTCCCTCTTTGACCTCCAAAACGGGAAGGAAGAGGGAGTTTCTTCAACTCACACTGGCTCGCTGAGTCCTTGGCTTTATTTGAAGTGTTCTATCTAGCAAGTCAGCCAGTGTGGTGACTGTGGCTCTTTGTTCTCTGTCACAGGTGGGCTGGCAGCTTTCAAAGCTTTCCTGAAGTCAGAATACAGTGAGGAGAATATTGACTTCTGGATCAGCTGTGAGGAGTACAAGAAAATCAAGTCACCTTCTAAACTAAGTCCCAAGGCCAAGAAGATCTACAATGAATTCATTTCAGTGCAAGCAACAAAAGAGGTAAGTTTCCATGGCAGAGAACTTTCTAGATCTTAGTGAAGATTCCTAGGAGTGGCATTCAGTGTCGGGGATTTTTACAGCTACTAGTTAAATGAAACAATGGGGTAGATTTTTACAAATTTAAAAACCTTTCAAGTAAATCTATTAGGAAAAACGGTCAATTTTGTCCATGTGATTTCAATGATGCTCCTTAATAAATATAATCATAAATCTCCCCAATGTGAAGACAGTAAAGGAAAATACAGTGCTCTTCCTACTTAGGAGCAGAACAAACCTTTTATGTTTTCACATATGCCAGGGCAGAACCAATGTCCTTGGCTTCATTTCTGGGAAGAATGTAAAGGAAGTTTCCCTGCTATTTCTTGTTGAATATAAGCCTTCAGCCTCCTCTGTTCAACAGAGTTCTAGATCTAACACAACCTTGGTCTTTGTACTTCAGGTGAACCTAGATTCTTGCACAAGGGAGGAGACGAGCCGCAACATGTTAGAGCCCACGATAACTTGTTTTGATGAAGCCCAGAAGAAGATTTTCAACCTGATGGAAAAGGATTCATACCGCCGCTTCCTCAAGTCTCGATTCTATCTCGACTTGACCAGTCCTTCTAGCTGCGGGTCAGAGAAGCAGAAAGCAGCCAAGAGTTCTGCAGACTGTGCCTCCCTATTCCACCAGTGTGCCTAATTCTCACATGGAGGCAGAGAGCAGAAATGCCAAGACTCTATGCGCTGGAAAACCTGAGGCCAAATATTGATCTGTATTAAGCACCAATGCTTTCTCCACGTTTGTAGCCTAGTGTCCATGCTGCCTGCTGTGTGCAAGTCACTCCCATGTAAAACTAGACTTAGTTGTGGTGTTGGGGTTTTCATTGGGGTATGACCCAATTCATTCCAAATGTTCCCAAGTTTCCTTAAGGGTATCATGTGAGCAAGTCTCCAAGTAATAGCCCTGTAGATCTGGATTTTTCAAAGATTGCTGGCAGTCCTCCCCTCCCAGCAGTTTGACCTCAAGTTAGTTGGTTGGTCCACTTCATGTGACAACACATGCACATGCAATGTCAGCCAGCAGCACTTCCTACAGAGATTGGTGTGTGTGTATATATGTATATACTAAATATATATAATATATGCATATATGTTTTGTATATATTGTACCTGTGTATCCAAATGTATGTGAATGTACATATGTATACATTCACACATGCACACACATTTCTACAAGAGTAGATGGGAAAGACCCTAGGTGCTCAAATTGGAGTATGTATGCATGCTTCCATGCATGTTCTGATCTCTGGTCCTTCACACTCTGTTTGAACAGGGCAAACTAACTTAACTGCCATGCAGGCTAAGAAAGGAACACTGACTTGTGGAAAACAAGTTCTGTAAAATCATTGATTCTTGATGGAGAATAACCAGGCTTCATGTTTAAGCACTGATGACAGCCTCCACATTGAGCACTAAAGTAAGGGGTGAATACTCTGGAAATTCTGCTGGCTGGCACAGAACTGCCTTGTATCAATTATCACGACTGGCACTTTTAAGTCCCTATGCTGATGGCCTTCCTCCTTTGCCTAGGTGCTCAGGGCATGCCGATCAGCTAGATTGGTCTGGAGTTGGGAGATGGGATATTTGAGTTGAATGAAGGAAAGCAGTCCAGGCTTTGCCAACAAGCCCTCTTGTGGGCCACAGGCTATGTGAAGGCATAGGACCTAAAGATTGTCCTATTTCTTTCCTCTCTTGATAAGGTGCTTGCCTATTCCCACCCCCTGAGAGTGTCAACTGTCAGATGAGCTTCCTTAGTTCACTGTGGTTGGTGGTTCACTTTCAGAACCATGGCCTGGCTTGAAGCTACATGCCTACATTAGCAAAGCTTCGTCTCAGGAAAGGTTTTGTTTTTTAAAGAGGAAGGAAGTTCTCCCAAACTGAAAAGCCCTCCTTGCTTTTCTGCTTTGAGGTAAGAGCTTGTTCATCCTACCCCAAACATGGAGACTAGCAGAGACCAACAAAGGGAAAAAAGAAAGAAAAAGAAAGGGAGAAGAGAGGATAGGATATCAGTTGGCAGGACTACAGTTTGGAACTTTTCAAGGCACATGAAATACTTGAAAACTTCTCATTTGTGTTATTTGTGATGTTGTTTTGTATAATGTTTATATTATTGTGTTGTTTTATAAATGGAGGTACAGGATATTACCTGACCTACTGATGAATTTCCAGAAAGTAATTTTCTTCTCATTCTTCTAAACTACCACTTTTGAGAGCACACACATACTCATGCATACATGGTACCCATTGCTCTAGTCTATATCAAATGCATGAGAACCACCATGGCTACTAAGCCAATGTACTGGGCTGCAATATGAAGACACTGGAGTAGTGTGTATCCAAGTCTCATTGTATTGAGGAAATTGGTTTTCTAACTGTACCCTTCTTATATCTCTGAAAGTCTTGCGTGTAATGTCCTCAGAGCTCCCCTTCAGTGTTCTCCATACCATCTTTGTGATCTTGTTTGTACAACTCTTTGGTCTTGTCCCAATATTCTCATATCTTTGAGTTTGTACCTGTACTCACAGACTGCTGTCTCACAAATAGGTCTGGAAAGTCATTCTGAATGAGAAGTAAATTATTTTATGTAAATACATTTTGAGTGTGTTTTCAATTGTATTTCCATCGCTCTTTGATATGGTGAGCCTGCCTGCTGCTGGTCCATGCAGAGACTACTCCTTCCATATGCATGCCTGTTTCTATGTGCTTTATGGGCCTCAATGCTGATGCTTCCAATGAAGATCACATATCTTGATAAGAAGAGTAAATAAATGCTTCCTACAAAACTATCTGCTTGGAAACACATTAATAATCCAGAAAGGCATGTTGTGAGAAAGGGCAGGGTATAGGACACCTTTAGAAAATGACTCACACTGAGTCTTCTATCCCTTTCCTGCAAACTCTGGGAAGGAAAGCAGAAACAGCATCATTTCTACTCTGGTTCCTTTCACTGCTCTGACTGCCTCTGCTCACAGACCCGGGGCTGCTCTAGGTTCAGAGACTGCTAGGCAGATTTGGTCGTCCATTTGCAGGTATTCATTCAGTGGGCTTTAAAAACAAACAAACAAACAATAACAACGAGGTCTTATTCTGTAGCCTGGGCTGGCTTGAAACTCAACTGTGAAGCCTAGTTTGGACACAAATTAATTGTGATCAACCTCCCAAGGGCTAGAATGACAGACACAAACTTTCCCTGCCCAGACTCAATAAGGTTTTAAGGGACAGGGTCCACGTTCTGAGCAGCTGTCTGCTTTCATCTACCTGCCTGAGTGAGAGAAGTTGGATCATGGAGAAACTGAGAAGGCTGAAGTAGCTAGAGGTGTCGGGAAGGCAGCTCCCAGTGACAGCTGCTCAATATCCTCTTGTTCCTTTGCTGATTTCTGAGGGAGAGGTCACAGAATGCTCACATCTGAAATCAATGCTTTATCATGTCATAAGACCCCCATTTCCTGGTTCTTTCTTTCCTTTCCTATTATAAGAGTTGTGCTTACAGGGCAATAGGAATAGGTGACTGTAGACATTTTTGAGTAACAATTCTTCTACAGTTCTGGCATAAACCCTGGATCCTATACTTAGAAAAGTACATGAAGGAAGCCAAATTTCTCATAAATATTTATAGAAAATGTTTGCAACCCACCTCTCCAAACACGGATTGAGATCTCTCTGTTCTCCTTCTCATGTGCTCTTGCTTCTCACAACAGCCCTGAGGTAGAGATGTCAATCATGAGCTCTTTTACAGATAAGATAACTAACACAAAGAAAAAGTCGCTTGCCACCATGCAAGGGATGGAGCTGGGGTGTGTACTGAGGCATTATGGTCCATGAAGGACAAGCCAGAGATTCACAGCAGCCTCCAAATAGCCACACATAGATGGACTAAATGCACCAAAGGTGTCACTTACAGTCATATCGATCAAGAATGGATCTAAAACATATTCACTATTTCTCCTTTCTCCTTTCTGGCAGTTTCTCGGGCTACACATTCCAGAAAGTGCAGGCACGAGATGGAGAAGTGTTGGTCGTTTGACAGTGTGTGGGTTCTTGGCTCTAACACTACTATACTACTACTCAGATCAATACCGAGATCTGCCTTTTAAACACTGTACTATTAATTTGTGTTTGGTGGCGTGGGGGGGCTCCAAAATGTGGTTTAAGATGCCTCATCATCGCTATAGCAGTCTAAAAACAGAAACTAGACTTTGTTGGGGGATTCTCCCCAGTGTGCCTTGCACTGTGTTCTGAAAACTTCTGTTGCCAGTTTTAGAAATTTAAATTTTTAGAAACATGACAAGGGATAAAAGAAGAGAAAGGAGAGGAAAAAAGAAAAAAGGTGGGGAATAAAGAACCAACTATGCTTTAGCTCAGGTGAAACACATGGGCATAAAAGGAGTCATTCCAGCAAAGTAAATCCGAGTCAGGTCATGTAACAGATGTGACCAGTCAGCTGCAAAAATTGGCAGTGGAGCTACTAAATAGCCCTGGCCATCCCATTCAGAGGCTGAATTCAAACTAAGAATCTGCACAGGTCCCTAAGGACAAGATGATCAGTTTTAAAAAACCCTGTTGTTTTAGGTGATATTGTCCATAGAAATGACATTAGAAAGGAAAATACTGGAATTTTCCCTTTCTGTTAGATATGAGAAAATTGGGTGGGATGGCTTAGTAATGATTTACCTCTAGAACCCAATAATTTTAGATTGTATATGCAAGGGGAGTCAATATGAAAGACTGCTCTATGACTAATACTGATGAATAATGCTTGGAGAGAGGCTAAGACTTCCAAAAGAAGTCAAGAAGTGAATGGTTACACTGTGCATGCATGCCATGAGTTCTGAGGGCCAAACAGAGGCTGAATGCTTGTTTCACCCTGGAGTAAGATGATCTTAGGTGTCTCTTCATTGCAGATGGAGAGATTTGGATGCAGGAAAGTTCTGAGACATACCCAGTAGTATATACTCAGAAAAGTGGTAGAGCTTGAGTCTAGTCCAGGGTTTACATTTTTCCTTACTCAAGTTGAGAAAGAAGAAAGGGAGAGGGAAAGAGAAAAAAAGTGAGGTAAAGGGATAAGACAAATAGAGCAAAGATGGAAAGAGAGAAGAAAAAGAAAGGGGCCAAGGAAATGGAAAAAAGGGACAGGAAAAGGAGAGGAAATCAAAGATGGCTGCTATGAAACAGGACCAAACTCAAACTACCCGTCGTCTCCATGACATAAGTGGGCTGGAGCACTGAGTGCTGCTGGGGTTTACCTATGTCTTGTCTGAGTTGGGGCAAGTGGGAATTATCCCCAGATCTTGTCAAAGGTGCATTTTGGAAGCAAGCATTGGATCCTAAGGACAACTCTAAGTGTCACTTTCCTGGTTCCTCTTTGTTCTCTAAACTTGCCAGATTCACTCATAGAGCAGCAAATAGACAAGTGCATAAAACAAAAATTTTAAAGGATAAAAGGTATCCTAAAGTCTCAGCCTCTCTGGTTTGAATTTACAAGGGGGTTGCTGGGTCATTACACAACAAAGCAAAGCCATTCAGCTAGTAGGAATTACATGCAGCCAGGACCACAGCTGGAAACAGGCATGAGCCCATGGTCCTCCTCACGTTCCTGCCTCCCCTCTGGGAGGAAGCCAGTAGGTTAAAGGTCCAGTCTCCACCCCAGGAGTTCAGTTAAGGCGACTGCATGTGCAAAACAGTGAGCTAGGCCGTGGGAACCAGAGAGTGGCAGTCTCCCAAGATTCTGCAAGTCTGCCTTTGGGTTGGTTGCTGAAGCAAAGTAGGCTGCCCCCTTTTCATGGGGGTGTTTGTAGGATTCCCAGATTATCCACCAACCCATTTGGGGTTTCTGTAGCTGTCTTCTCCCAGGACAACATATCCCCAAAAGATTCCTTGATGATAATGATCTGTGGGAAAAGAGCTAGTCTCCTTGAAGACAAATCACATTTCGTCTCCCACCACTGTTACCAACACTTGCTTTTGTCCTCTTCTTCCCACTAGAGGACTGGGTCTTTTCCATAATTTTGTTTGCTAATGTTGTCTTGCCTGAAGAAGAAACTCTCAGGAAAGTCAGGGAAATTCCAGCTCAAAGGTTTCTCTCCCTCCTCCCTATTCTACCTTAACAATGACCCTGACCTTCCATGGAGCCACTTCATCTAGAAACTCCCCACACCCAACAGTCATCTAGCTGTGTAGCATTTCTCTGGATGAAACTTCTCAAAGATTCTCCACCTGCAGGGATATCCCCTCATCCAGGGCCTTAGAGGGCATGGCTTGGATTGTTGATGTAACCTCTCTGCTGGCCTCTCTGCCTCCAGCCTGGAAGCCTCTAATTCATTTCAAATAATGGTGTGCATGGATATGCACTTGGTACACCTTTTCCTGAAAAATTATTGTGCTTCAAATTCTCCTGGCTGGTGTTCTAGACTCTATGATATTGAAGTATCTCAAGCTTTCTGGTCTTATCCTCTACAATTATCTCTTTGATTCTGCTGTAAAGACTGGCAGTTTCTGAAGTGGGACATGCCCAGTGGCTCCTGTTACATTTCTGGTCAGTGTATCTGCTTCATTTAGTTAGCTCCTCCATTCACTTTTAAATTCAGTTGAGGACCTATCCCCCTTGAGAGACTTCTCCCACTTTCTGACATGACTTAAATCTTCCCTGGGGTTTTCCCTTGCTTTCCAGCATGCTTTTATTCCCAGAACATGGTTCAGCAATCACTAAATTTTGTCTTCCAAATTATACTGCCAATTTCTCAAGGCCATGTTTCATTGATTTCATAAGGCCTGCACCAAGCCATGATCCTTACACTTAGAGGATAACTGCTTGTAGACATCAGTTTACATATTTCTGGAAGGAAGCAGGAAGTGGTCCTTCTGGCTCCTCCAATTTCCCTGAGTGTTTACTGCTTCCTGAGTATTGTTATGATGTAATCATCTCAAAGTCTACTATGTTCCTGTCATTTCTTATAAAACACAAGGGTGTTTTTCCTAGCCTTGTGATGGAGGGGTGGGAGTTAAATAGAGTAGAAAAGATATTGTTGGAGTCACTTACAGAGAAAAGATTTTGTAAGAAGTCACCAGTGTGCTCACAGTGTGTTCGTGTATCTATTTTACATAGGTAATTAAAGTTAGTTCTATTTCATAGACAGAATACATTCTGATTGCAACCTTTTATGTATACCACCCCTTCACTGACATCTGCAGCAAATTCACTGACAGTCATCGTTTATTTTGTATTAGTACCACTTTATCTGCTCTAAGTCTTTTAATACATAGCACCATCATGATAAAGAGACTGTAAAAATCCATCACCTGATAAAGAGACTGTAAAAATCCATCACCTTACTTTCATAGTTGAGAAACTGATTCACAGATAAGCAAATACTTACTCAAGATCACACATCTCATGAGTAAAAATAGCAAGGCTTGACCCCAAGATAATGTGGTCGCACAGCCCAATTATATCTCATAAAAACATAGAGTTCTGTGATATATATATATATATAGAGAGAGAGCACATATAGCTATATAAATACATGTGACATAACTTTTATATAAATATTTACATATAAATACATAATTTTTCATTTTCTACTATTCTCTCAGATTTTTTACTCTGAGAATTTCTTTTGCTCTGTTGTATTATAATTACATACCCACTTTTGTGCATCTCTTTTGTTTCTTGTAGATTTCTATACTCCCTTCCCTAGACTGTTTCTTCTAACACCCCATTTCCTTCACATCCCCCTTCTTAATCTCTGTAGATATTCATGCACTTCCAGTGATACTTGAGACTTTTAAG